TCTACACCTTGGTTTCTTGTCAGCCTTTCTTAGTTTCTTGTATATTTTTTCATTGGGTTTTACGCCACACCAACACAGTATAGGTCAGTCACTTCAGCTTCTCACATGAAATAATCTGAAAACGCTTGTGTGGCTCTAACCTATATCAGTGAGCGGCAAGTGGTTTGAAGTTAATAAATTTACACTCATTACTTAGTACTGGTTGGTTCCAAAAATCGAATTGAAAGTGTTTCAAAATAAGCTTATAGCTTCCAACACAATCAAACTAAAATAAAGTAGTATAAACTAAAATCTTGCCTTCTTGAAGTACAATTTTGGTACTATATTTCTCCTCTCGTGATATTTGATCGTTAAATTCAGACATTTTAGCAGTTTATCGCCACAAATAATTTTAATCACAATTTTATTGAGAATAAGTTTTTTGATACTTAAGAAATTGTAAATCATATAACATAATTTAAAATCAGATTTAAGGCAATTATTTCTCCCACCTGCTGTAAGGCATAAATCATAAAATGACAAAAAAAAACTTCCTAATCCTTATATCTTAAAATGTTTACAATCATAAATAAGTTAAGTTATTTAAGGATTAAATCTATATATTTTCGGGAAAAGGGTTTGTCATTCATGGATTCTCGTTTAAACTGTATAAATTAGATTAAGTGTAATTTAGAAATAACTTGTTATACATTGACAATATTTGATATAGTTATTTAATTCATAATTTTCAGTCAGTATTTCACTTTATGTAATATTTTAGAATGGGGTAGTTTGGAATTATTATAGATAACTGATTGCTTATGTCTTATAAAATTATGATTGAAATTTCAATGAAATATTTCCCGGTTTACATTTGGTAGTAAGAAATATAAAAATCAAGAATATCTAGATGCTTGACAATCTGTTTGTAATAACGGTCTGATCCTGTCTGTCTTAATTTCTATGTAAGGTTTATGAAGCTTCTTGTTTAGCTAAATAAGTTAGGGGGTTAGGTGTACAAATCTCTAGTGAGCAAGTTTGAGTCTTGAGCAAGCACATGTTTTTTACAATCTGGTAACTGATACAGTGTTTCCTCCTCAATTTAAAATGATTTATGCACAAAAGTACAAAAGTTGATTATGACTTTTAAAACAACTCATGCTTCATGCAGGAACACAAGGAAGATAACTGTCAACTGATAAAGGGACTGAAAGTCTTGAAATCAACAAAACTATAAATACTTTAATGATATATTGTGACCTCAGTGCAGAACTGGGTTAACACCTTATATGATATAATAGGAGTTAACCTGTTACTGAACTAAGGTGATGATATTTTCACAAGAATAAATAAATAAATATATATACACTGGTTTCAGTACTTTATCATTACACAAGTTGATCTGTAATATGGGTTCAAATTAGGTTACTTATACCTACTTAATGTTGTTGTCAACTTTGAAACAGAAGTTTTTTTTCATTACCTCAACTGGAAATTAATTGCATCTGATCACACATGCCTGTGTCAGAGTTATCCAAGTTTTGTGAGCCGTTAATAAATAATGTGCATATTCATACCTTTATCCCCTTATTTGTCAAAGTAATTCTTTCACTTCAAGTTTACAATTTGAAGAATGATTTAATTGCTTAAAGCAATTATTGTAATCGTAAAATCATTTTAAATGTTCATTGTAAAGCAAGATTGAACCTTTTCCTACCACTCACCAACTTTAACCATTCACATATTAATGGTTGCGTGAAGTAACTTAAAACATGTTGTGCTACATATGACTTTTTCCTTGCTTTATTGGGCAATGTTTAGTTAAAACTAACCCTGATTTATGATAGTGATAGTAAATAAGTTTACAATGATCTTATATCCATGCTGAATTTAAATCATCCCTTAGATTTTATCTTAAATGAAAGTGAACTTTTTGTGCGTCAAATGACATGTTAATCGGGTAGTGTTTAACAGCTTACACTTGTTTAATGTCTCTGTATCCCCAAGTAAACCCTTTTAAAGAGAGGGTTAATTATAGCTTCATACACTTCAGAAAAAAAAGATTATTTTAGTGTGCTTCACTTGATGCCAACAAAGCACATGTATCCAAGGTTTTTTAAAAAAAAACATGGTGATGAGATATGTAGATAACCCTTGAAAAGTCATACAGACTGATGTAAAAAGATACAACAGTAATAAAAATGTTGTAAACTTAATTGTTGTCACCCATCTTTATAATCTGTTTTATCAGGTTAGTGACAGATATTTTCTTCTCAGTTTTGTCAAGTATAGATTCTTAACTTTGTAGCTATATAATGTGGACATAATCTGACAAGTTATAGTTGGTCATTTCTCTATGACATGATGTACAATAGTTCCTTGAAGCAAAACATCAAGTTTTTTTCTTTCATCAATCAGATATCTAAAACAATCTATGAGCTTAACATAATTACTATGCTATCAGGACTTTAGAGTAAGATGTTAATACTGATGTTGACATTGATAATATTGTACCTAACAATGCCACCAGTAAATAGAGCCAGTGGCAAGCCTGTACATTCATACTGTCTCATCAGACTTTGTCACTTTTGGGTACTACTTTTTATATGTTGACTAAAAAAATCAATGGACACAAGAATATAAATTAACATTATCAAGGTATTACAAAGCTGGTGTCATTGCCTTGATGTTAATGTTATCATATTATTATTTAAAAAGAAATGTAGAAACTAATGTAGAATGTCTTATGTTCCATTCAAAATAGTTGTACAATAACTATTTCTTAAGTACCATAACTTTTTAATGCTTTTTGATATTTGAAGTTTTATTGCATAATTTTACAGCATAGAATAGATTTATAATAGTTATTTATGGCTTTTTTATAATTGACTTCAATAAAAAAAAATGAGATAGAGTTTTTCTGGTACATTTATATTGTTATATTCTTCATAAACACTGTAAGTGATGACAACAAAAAGCATATTACCTTCATCTTATGAAGCCAATTATAGTGGCGGAGGGGTTCCCTGTACGGGTTAGGCATCAGAATTGCAGTCAACGTTTAACCCTATGTAAAGAGTAAGAGGCGTAAAAATGGGTTTGAATTACTGGTGTCAGTGTGCCTCTTAGTTTCAGCAGGTGAAGTAATTTTGACCCCTGATATTGCTTTAAATTTGTATAAGGTTAGCCAAAACATCTTTCCTGTTCCGGCGCCATATGACCTAAACAGTATTTGTGCACATGAAACCAAACGAAAAAAAACAAATAAAGGAGCAGACTTGACTGAACGGCACTAATTTAAGCTGAAGCATTACCAAAACCTACAATTTGATAGTAATTAATCTCTTGATAAATGGTAATAAAAAACAGTTTCTTATCTGATTTGACAATAGATATTGATCAGGCTCAATTAAAGTGCAGATGATAGCCTGGTTGATGACACTTTAGTACTGACAAACCTGATGATCAGCAAATGTTCAGAGAGTAATAGATTATGTTATAGAGAACTATTCAGTACAAACTGCAATTTAACATGACTAAGCTTTTCTATTTAAGTAACATAAAAAGTACTGTATGTATAAAGTTATTGTTTAGGGACTAAAAATATCCTCTAGATTTTCTAGTACCACCCTAAAAAACAACATAAAGTAGAATTGGCTTGTGTCTACCATTGATATAATTTTAGACCACCTTGTACATCATTTAAAGTAATTGTACTTTATCGTAACAGAATGCTCTTGTTCACATCATATTTACAGACAAGCTGGTATTTATGTTTTCAAATAATTTTATACAGGCACCTGTAATTTAATGTGATTGTATTTTACTATTTCTGTAGTTCACACCAAGCTGTCAAATTAGCTAGCATAAGATCAACTGGTACCTGTAAATGTTACCCTGTAATTTGCCATCTAGTCCAAAGATTGTTAATTGAAAAAAATATACCCACGCTATTTGCGAAATGTCTTTGATTCAAATGCGAAATGAATTATTATTATTTATTTATACTTGTGTGCTTGAGTACAATCCATTACGAAGTAAATTAGATGTCTCTGCTAAATATAAATATTGTAGTTTATTTCATCCCTTGAATATATTACAAAATGTTAAATCACCTTGTTTATGACATATGTACCAAAAATGACTTAAAGATTAAAGAATCAAAGGAAAAACAAATAAGAAAATACCAGACCGAGGTATAATTACAGTAATAAGTCAATTAAATTTGATTTAGTCTTTGTTTAGTATTGATATATGTATGTCAGACTAGTACCAGCGACTTCAGCAAGTCAGATTGTCTCACTAACAAGGGTTTAGTATCGGAGGATGATTGTGCAAAACAGTTATTCTGGTTCTCCTGACTGTCTCAAATGTCACTATGTTGTCCTTTGTTTATTTACTTTGCTCTTATACATCATGTTACATATATTAACTAGCATTATAAATCATACTTGATGATTTCAATTGAGGTATGTACGAGAATTTACAGCCAATGACATTGGAAAATCTTCAGTAATGTCCTAGTAAAATGTTAAAGGCTTTGAAATATTTCAGATAAAATTACATGTATTTCATTCATGTCCTCACATGGTAGATCATACCTTTTTATTCAACAGTTTTATATTTCCATTGCTGCCTTTCAAAGTTTGATTACAGCCGATACCAAAATAAAGAAGAAAAAACTGTGTATCTTAAAGAAAAAATTTCTGGTAAAGTTGCTGAAGGTCACTGATTCAACCCAAATTTTTGTGATCTTCACCTCACCTTAACCTTGAAATGTCATTACCTTGACCTTACAATGTCAAAACCTTGACTTCACAATGTCTTAATATTGTCCTTACAGTGTATTCACCTTGACCTTACAATGTTTTCACCTTGACCTTACAATGTATTCACCTTCAACTTGCAGTGTATTTATCTTGACCATACAATGTACATGTGTGTAGCTTCATATTGTTTATTGGAGGCCCATAATATCAGAAATGGTTATAGTTTAATATAGTTTATATTGTAAATTTCAGGCCCACAATGTTAGAAGGATGACATTAAGGAACAGTAATATGAAACAGAAGAAATTGACGGAGGAGGCTAAGCAGAAGATTTGGGAGGAGAGATTTAAAAAACGGGCAAGTGAGAAAGCCAGATTAGAGCATGAAGACTCCCTCAAATTCTTCCAGGTAAATACTGATTTCCTGTCCCCTTTAAAGATTGAACTGCTGTAAACACATTACGTGATGAATTCATAAATGGATTTGTCCAGCTTCCATTTTAACTTATTAATTTTTAGAGACAACAAGATGAAAATTTTAAGTCAACTTCCTGGTGTAGCATTAGGAATCACAATTGTCACCTCAGTTAGGCTCAAACTCAATACCTTGGTTGAAAGGTAGACACTTTAACCACTTATCTATCTACCCACTTCATATTTGTAATTATATCTAGAAATGAAACACAATTTGCCATATTTAACTTTTTTGTGTGCCTGTAGAAGCAACATATAGGGGTTACTTCTCTATCTTTCTGTCTGTCTGTCCATCACAAAACTTGGTTTTTTTCTTAAACTCCCCAAAAACACACACAAACAAACACAAAACATATATACACAAAATAAAGGTCAATATGGGAAAATTTATATGAATTACCTGAACTACCTTCATTGGCGTCCGCGCCGAAGCGCGGCGCTCTTATGGAATGAGATCAGATTTTGTGAAAGGGCGACAGCAACTTCTCGAGCCTTTTAGTCGGTCATAATAAAAGCCGAAAATTCCGATCGGTATGAGGGTGCTTGATTATTAAATAAGAATGAAATGTCGCGATATGTTACAATGAATTTTCGCAATGCAAACATTTACAAATGAAATAACCTTTTCCGTCAATAAATCGCGCTCTTCGGGGTTTTTTATTTCTCATTTTGTAGTACACAGTCGGTGATCATGTCATGGTATGTTATTGTTGTACATGTATCCTAGAATGATCAGTTGATGACCTAAATATTCCAAAAACCTATTTATAGATATATCTATTTATCACGGTAAATGCCGGTCTCCCGGTCTATTTTGACCAGGATTTACTAGTGACCGGCGAATAGTACCATACGTTTATTGTCCGGTCTCTCCCGGTTTTGGAGTAGATGTTTGATATCGTTACAATTAGAAAAAAAACAACAATAGCATGTTTCATTTTATCTATATGAGATAAAAACAATAAATATGTACACGGATTTATATGTAATATAAATTCGTGATATGTACAATAATTGAGAAAAAGGTACATTTTTATGGTATTAAAATGACATTATCAACTTTGAAACATTTTATTTAATTATTCAATTTGTTATCCGTGTTTAGTAAAGATGCCGAGGAATTATTCAAAGTTACAAATTAGATTTTATGAATTATTCAATTGATCGATAATTTAAAAAATGATAAAGAAAAATACAATGTACATGTACATGGTTTAAGAATAAACAATATTATATATTGAAAGATAAACCATAATTTACTGACTTTTTCCAGTTAAGCTTTGACTTATAATCGTCGGTCAATATGACAATTGAATTCTTAAAATTTATTTTACAATTTTAATAAAAAAGAGTAGTAAAAACTCAGTATTAAAATAGCACATAAAACACAAAAAAGAATAAAAGAAAACAATATTCATAAAATTTGTATTTTTTTTTAATTAAAATTAATAGATATTACAATTATTGTATAATAAACAATTATGCTCAACATGATCAACATGGTAATATAACCAGTGTCATATTTTTACTAACTTAAACGTGTTGATCATGCGTTACACATATGGATTATAAATGATTGCATACAAGTTTTGTATGTATATCCGTTGCTATTAATAACCACGATCATAAAGAAATAACAATCGCCTCGGTCAATATTAATTTTTTCAGTACATATCACATCATATTCAACAGCTAAAAAGTCCATATTTGTATATATTCTAATCTCTAGCATGCTAATCAAAGTTCATAATGAACAATGTCTTTCGTCCGCTCATTCATAAGTGGTATACATTTCTGGTAGTTTATAAGAATATCTTGTCATCATATGTGTACTAGTTCATCTTCACTTGCTGCATTTCTTGCTTGGACGCCCTTTGATGCTTTGCATCAATGCTTTTCTTGTAGATAAGATAGAGTACTTTCTTCCCTCTATAATGTATATCTGTGAAGGCAAGATTTGTTTGTATTTATAGTGTTGAAAATATTCATCAAGTTTTCATTCTGAATTAAGAGTTGTTCAAGGGTGAATGTGTTATCTGGTTTGACATGATTCTTCAATGAGTACTAGCATTAAATAATTGAGTTTGCATGCTCACCCCATCACCGCAATGATAGTAAATTCTCATTTTAGGCTAAACAAATTGTTAGCAAACTTAGACCTAAAATAATTTTAATTCATCCAGCTTTGATCTGCTATCTACTGCTAGCTTTTAGACTGGTTGTCTTCATCTAAATTTAGGTAAAATATTGAAGGCACTAAATTTCTAATCAATTTACCATTGGTCAAATTTTAATTTAAAAGTGAAATGTTTATTAATGTAAGAATCTAACACCCTGTCATTGACAATATTATAAAAGGTGTTTACAAGAGGATGGCACATAAAACATGTTATCAAGCAAATAAAACAGTGTCATTTTCTTCAAGGTTTTCTTGTCGTTTCTGACACTTTGTACATATGATACACCTGTGTTGAGGAGGGGGGGGGGTGCAGATTTCACTTCTAACCTTAGAAGATTATCATCATACCTTCAAAATGTATGCAAATTGATGCAAAATGTCACTGGGTGACAATTTACAGACTTTTTGCACATTTTTGACCCAGAAGTTGTAACCTTGTATTAATCATTTTAATATTTTGTCACTTTATCATGTCGTAATGTGACAGTTATTACATGTCTTTTTATATCTATTTTCTTATGTTTTTATATTGTACTTGTAAACACCCTTCAATATCATACAGCTTCCTGTATATTGTAATCACTGTACCTAGAAAAAATAAGATTGAAAAATATATGAATTAGTAAAAAAGGGTGAAAGTAACAAAAGATCCTGTATAGGAGGTCATGAAGGTCAAAAAATGCATTAGAGAAGGTCAAATGTCAAAGGTTATTTTGACCTATTAATGCACATTCTTATAAGGTCACTGAAAGTATGACCAGAGGTGGACGTAGAAAAGAATATTCAATTAGTGACCTTTAAAATTTGAAGTCTATATGTCTGTATTTTTAAGTCACTTGCTGTAAAAAATGTTCAGGATACTGTTTTGCTTGATATATGAAATGATTAATTAAGTGTAATAAGTGCACAGAACTCATAAAAAATATAGTTTAAAATGGTCATATGCTGGTGTTTATTTTTAATCATAGTACCACTATGAAATAACCTTGAATTATTCCAGAAATGCAACTTACTTTTTAGAAAAAACAGTTGTTATCTGCCAATCAACCAGTCTGTCAATATGACAGCTTCTCCATTGCTATATTAAAATTCATAATTCAAAATATATGGGTAAGAATATTATTTTTCCGAATATATAAATGCAGCATTTGGACTGGAGACTGTCAGCTTAAAAACAAGTGTATTTTAATGAAACCCAGTTTATTAGAGATATCTAATCCTTTACAAACAGACAGTGTCTAAATTTTCATAGTTATTGAATGAATGTATAATTTTTTTTTATTAGAAAATGGTTGCTAAGGGTGAGGACTATGAGCAGAATCTGTACAGTAAGGTGAGAAATGCAGAATATACTCGTCAAAAACAAGAGCAGTCGGTTCGTAGAATACAACAACAATTAAATGAAGTGAAAAGAAAGAACGCTGCTATAGTAACTAAAGAACTTGCTGAAAGAAACAAACAGGAAGTTGAACTTGAACAACTTCTATATAAAGAAAAAGCAGAGCTTGATAAGGTAATTGGATTTTATATAAATTATATGAGCCGTGTCACGAAAAAACCAACATAATGGGTTTGGGACCAGCATGGATCCAGACCAGCCTGCGCATCCGCGCAGTCTGATCAGGATCCATGCTGTTCGCTATCAGTTTCTTTACTTGTTATAGGGTCTGTAAGCGAACAGCATGGATCCTGATCAGACTGCACGGATGCGCAGGCTGGTCTGGATCCATGCTAGTTGCAACCCATTATGTTAGTTTTGTCGTGACACGGCTCAAATACAAGATTTTGTGAGAGTAGACATATATATAAATGCTTTTATTGCTGTAATACTTACTGCCATGCTTGTTGACGTTGTTGTTGTAACCCTGTATTCATTTGTTATATTTGCATCAAATAAGGTATCATTTACCTACAATATAATGTACTTGTTTTCTGTGTATGTATTTCTTCTGAAGATATAAGAAAGTTGTATATCCAAGACAAGTTAACTGTCACTTCTTATTTAAAGTAATTGCTAAAACAAAACATTAGACAAATCAGTTTATTTCTTCATCTCTAATTTCATCAATTTCATCAAAACAAATATGTCTTTTTCCAGTTTCCTGACGCACCCAACATTTGTTTGCTAATTTGTCATCTTTTGGCATATTCAAAGGCCTTTTTATGATGAGCATATAACAGAAACTGTACTGTGTAATTTTTTACAAATAAAGAAAAAGTCCTACCATCCTTATGTCCTATATTTGTTTAGTACAGGAAACCAGGCACAGATAATCTTTTATTTCATTTATTTAGGGGCGGGGGAGGGGTTGTTCACTTGGGGTGTTCTATGAAACTAAAACAAATTGTACCATTTAAAATCTTGTTACCTAAATGTATATCTGCAATGACTGCTAGAAGTGTTGATTATTTTAAGTTTGTGTGGGTTTTAGTGTAGAATAATTGCAGTGAAGTTTAAGTCATTTATTTATTGTTCTATAAGAAATTGGATACTTCTGTATTTATTTATTGTATGTTTGAGACATTGAAATTATTTGTTTGGAGCAATAATGTCTGTTTTAGAAACACCATGTTTGAAATGTATATCTTTCACAAGAGAAATAAACAAATAAAACTGTTGGTTTCAATCAATCTGTGAATGTCTTGTACAGCATTAAAGACATGATAGGGAACAGGTTTTTTTATTCTAACATTTCCATTTGCTGATTGAATTTTACACAGAATATCGGAAGTATCCAGTTTTGTTGGCATGTTTAGTATTTACATTTAGTGGAATGTTGTTGTTTTTTTAAGTTCTAAAGCATTTTATTAACTCAGGTCACTATATCATTATCATATTCTACATCAGATTAACTTTTCTTCTCCATTTTATTTGTTGCTGAATTGAGAAAATAAAAATTGTTCTTCATACTAGACTTTATAACCCATGCTAAATATTTTAAATAGCCACCTTTCAATCTGGACAAAACCATTAATCATTTTTAAGGAAAATTTAGTAATGCAGTGACTTGAATAGCAAACAGCGCAGATCATAATCAGACGGTAAAGATGTGCCAGCTGACCGTGCCTACACTGGTAGTATTGGCTCAAGCAGGCTAAGGGTCAAATTGTAGAGACTTTCCGATACCACTACGCTTTGCCAACCCAGTACCTAATTTTCATTTCATAACAAGACATTATTCAAAGGAAAAAAAAAGATGAAATTGATTAATCAAAAAAATTAAAATGTTTAGCAAAAGAATAGAATTTGGAATGGAATTTAACCAAAAAACTTGAATGTCAATAAAACCAAACATTGAGGAAAAGAAAAACATAATTAAGGAAGATGCCAAATCTAGAAAACTGTTATTCGTTTTCCATTCACGTCACGCAGTTATGTAAAAAAAAAACAACCTTGATCGCAATTAAATTCATTCTTTAAGTTGCAACTATCTGTGTAAATTATCAAAGTTTATATGTCCCACATTTTATCTTTTTCACTGCAATATAATAAAATGTCAAAATGACAAAATATAAACGTTTTACTAACACTGTAAACACGTTATTATTGAATATTAATTACAAACACCTGCAAAAGCTCACTCTTTTTTCAGTATGACATGCAATTTAGAAAGACTAGGTTTTTTTGAGCGATTATCTGTATTCATAGGAAAGGCAAGTGATTGATTGAAGATAAAGGTGTATAAGTGAGAGATATTTGTGTCCTGAATGATAATCTCCTAGATTACAATGTTCACAATTTGACAAATTCCAATTGGCATGAACTTATATCTGTTTTTTTAATCTTGATTTTCAATTTCTTTTCAGTCCTTTTTTTACCCTCTCATATTCTTCATTTCTAAAATAGGATTTAAAGATGTGTTACCTCCCTTTATTTTCTGCTGAATGTTGATAACAAAATGATTGTATCTAAAAAATTTGGCTATATTACATAAGATCAATTATCTAGTAGGGATCATTGGCAAAATGTTTATGGTTACTGATTTTGAACAACATTGCAATGGGTTTTGAAACTATTTTAAGCATGTTCAAATTGTTCTTTGAAAAAGAAGGCATTCATGTTGTGGTTTTTGGATTGACTGCACAAAGAAAGCTTGAAAATTGCCATATGACATTAATTTTGAGGGTACATTTAATGCTGACAGCCTACCTGTTGCACCAGTATAATACCAGACCACAAGTCAGCACTTCCTGACAGTCTTACTGAACTGAACTGAAATATTTGCCCGTCCGAAACCCTGGTATGATTGTTCCTTTGAAATTCCAAATTAATAATCCGGTCAGATCTAATTCACAAGTTAAGATTGGTAAGAAAGTTAAATACATCAATTACATTATAATATGTATTGTAATTGTTTAACTCAAGGATATCAGATTCATAGGACGAAGGACATTTTGCTGTTTTTTGATAGTGCAAATTCATAAGACCCATGTTGGTTTAGCAAAGTGTCAACATACAAATTAAAGAAGATAAATGATTATATAAGTAATATCATTATATCTTTTAAATACATATATAACTGCTTTAAATTATTTAAATAGAGCAATTTGATAGATGTTGTTTTTTTACCTAGCAGATTATTTCGTTTTATGATAGATTGTTGTGCCTTTATAGGTAAAGTAACCTTATATAGATTTAAAAGGTTTTACATATTAAAGGTTATTTATAAATATTAATTACAACTTTGTTGTTGCAATTACCTTGATTTCTCTAGGTAAACATGGTATTTACCAAACATGGATGATAAACTATGAATGTTAAAAAGGGGTGAAAAATCCAGTAAATTTATTCCTAAGTGGTATAAATCTTGTTTAAGTGAGGTATATAATGAGAATTGCAAAACTATTTTACATGTTGTAAAATTTGATTTGTTTCTCCCAGGAAGAATTGACTTTTCATGCTTATTAACATTTATTATGTTTAAGATAGACAGTTGGTATTTTCAATGATGTTTATTGCAATAGTTCTTTGTTTGTTTGTATTAAGTTTTCCATAAAATTACAAGCCAATTATGAAATTACCATTTAATTGTTAACATGTAGGAGTGCTTAATTGTTCTTCCGTATTGTGACCAAAATGAAATTCTTCTCAACACTACATTTCATTTTGGTATTTCATATACTACAAACTATAAAATAAATCAGTAACTTTTTTCCCAAAAAGTTAATATGAAGGCTGGTAACATAAAAAAATCCCATAGCAAATTAAAAAAGTACAAACTGTTTTGCTATGATAGAATGTTATCTATATGTTTGTCTCAGATGTAATTTGTCATTTCCTATCTGTTAATGTGAATGAATTAACACATCAACTTATCAAACTTCATCCACGTTGATAAGAGCAAAAAAACTGGTCCACATTTGAAATCTATCTTACATCTATAATATAAAAGAGACATTAATTTTACTATCTATTCACAGGTGTTTAATATTGGCAAACTGAAATTATATGTATTGAATATAGGCTGTAAGGCATTTATATACTTTCTTTTCTTGTAAGTGTGACACTGATACAACATGGTGCAGGGTTTACTATGTCATCTCTGCTTTTCAAATTATCATCTAAAATTGTCAATACCTCAAAATCAGCACTTCCTTGACAGCATACACAATACAGAGTTGTTTTGGCTAATATCCCAGTAAAAAAAATATTTTCAGGAATATAACAGTTCTTGAACTGTATGTTAAAAACATATGTACAAGAACTGTTGAAGCACATAGTTTTAGAACAATTCAAGAATTTTTTTCATGAAAATGAGTCCTTTTATTGTTCATTGGATATTCCTCAGCAAACTCAAAAACTTTTTAAGAACCGTTCATAAGTACTGTAAAATGAATGTATGATGTTTTTATACTATTTTTTGAACAAGTCAATAGTACTTTAAGAAATGTTGGTGTTTTAGAACTTTGTAATATTTGTTCATGAAAGCTTTTCAGTAACAAATAAACATCAAAATCATCCTGAGAATTTGCCTTAAAAGATACTTCAGTGATAAAAGAACAATTGAGAAATTGAATGCCCTTTATTTTGTTTATACAGAATTGATTTTAGTTTCATTGTGAAGGAAGATATTAGCTTATAGACACACTTTACAATCTGGTCCTAGAACCATTTCTGTAGTATGCTTGAACCAAAGGAAGCAACCTCTTGCAATGTTCTACAAAATATAAACTGGGATATTCTTGCAAATCAGACTGGAGTTTCTGTTAGTTTTACCCATGCTGAAAATTTCATGTGGCATGGAGGCGGCCCGGTACCAGATAAGTCGCATGCTGTACAATGGCACACTTAGGATGACATAAATTTTCATTATGAATGAAGTTGTAATTTCATACGCTGTTGCAAGAAAATAGTTACAGGTGTAATAACATAAATTTCTATGGTTAAGGTAAAGAGTTTAAAATATGATGGCATATGGTAGAATATGCAAAGAAAAATATCTGACCTATATGTTTGCAGTTTCGGCTCAGAATAAGTGTCCCTCGGCAACCCTGGATCCCCTCGGGATGTAT